CACACATATATACATGTATATATATACCATTTTCTTTGTCCATTCATCTGTTGATGGAAACCTGAGTTTGTTCTCTAAGTTGGATTTTGTCAACAATGCTGCATTGAGCATAGGAGCGCAGTTACCTCCTTGATGTCGTGGTTCTTTTCTAATGGAAAGATTTTCAGATTTACTTTTGTTTTTTGGAAGATTCTCTATATTCTTTTCCATTGTGGTTTTGCATTTCTACAAACAGTATATAGAGTTCTCTTTTCTGTACATCTTTATCAATAATTATATTTTTGAATAACTATTATGATGATATCTCACAGTTTTAGTTTGCATTTATCTGATGATTAGTGATTTTTGTGCATTTTTTCATATACCTACTGGTCAGTTCCTTTTTAAAATAAATTTCTACTCAGGTCCCTTGCCCATTTTTAACTAATTCTTTTGCTGTTGAGTTATGCTTCTTCTATATGTGAGAGCCCTGCACTCCATAGAGGTTCCTCACATAAACTGGAGAATTACTAGCACGAGAGGTGACCAAACTGTTCTGTAGCTGATTGTGTTGGTATTGAAAAAAGCATAAAACTGAGCATAAACACAAAAAGTTAACTTTTATATAGAATAAGATATAAAATTTTTAAAAACAGTGGTCCTGGAGAAAACTACTTTTCCATTCCTCTAGAAGAACAACTCATTCTTTGAAAATAATGCAAAAAGGAAGTCTAATACTAATTCTCTGGAAAATATGTTTGAATTACATTCTAGATAAAGCTCTTCATTTTAGGCCTAGGTGTCACAAATTTTTAAAAAATAAAGCACAAAACCATTGAATGTCCTTATCAGAAAGAATTCAAACATCTCTATCTTACCCCCATTAAGTAATATTTATGTTTTCAATTTACTCCATTATACCCAATGGACTATCCTGAAATTTTGCCTTTTCTTTAAACAATGTCGTCCAACATTATACCCAACACCTTGTTTATTGTTTGCCACATGGTAAGAATGCAATAAATTTTTGTTAAATTAAGAATGCATGTTTACCCGACAACTGGCATATTCTGAGGAAGTCAACACAACACTGAAATTTCTCTTAGACTCACACAATAACTTCTCATTCGTGTCATCACTGACCCTGTAGAGCAATGCAAGCAAAACGAATTCACAAATGTGTACACCCAATAACTGATACCTGCTCACCTGCTCACCTTCTGGGGATGACTGGTGTCTTGCTCAGTGGTATTGCTGTTCCGCCCAGTCTTTTGGAAGACAGATAGAAGGTGAGTGTGTCAAAGCTGCAATAGGGGTTATGTTTAAGATTTCCGAACTTTTCATATTTTAACACTAAACGAAAGACGGCAGAAATAATTTAATTATCAAATACTCCTCTCTTTCCTTTGCTTTTCCACCAATGTACTTAGAGTAGATAAAACACAAAGTCTGTCAAATGTGTGTCGAATTACTCAGGGTGCCGCCATGTCTGCTGGCAGAAGGGAAAACATGGGAGCCACTTCTTTGATGCGTCACATCCTGGAGGACTGAACCCGACATAATTTTTATAAGCGAAATCGCAGCTGCAGGAACTGCACTCTGACTCTATTGCGTTTCCTGCCTGTTAGCTGGGGGATGACTGTGTTGCCGACGTAAGTGAATGGTGAGTTCAGAACCCTTCAGCCCCTCTCAGGCGAACCGTTCCGTTCTGGCACTAAAAAGATTATACTTTAGTATTATGTAGAATAAGTTTTTTTTTTTTTCTTTTTTACATGATAGTTCCAGTATTTTTAAGCATTATAGCATTTTTTTTTTACACGATAGTTTTGGCTACCTAAACAGCTACACAAAAGACACAGCTTCAAATTTTGTAGGTTGATATATTTTTTAAAATTTTTATTACTTTATACAAATATATATTTGTATTATAGTTTAGCTTCTACAGTGGTATGCATCAAACTGCTATGACTAAAATCCATCACTGAACTCCATTTCATATTCCTCTGATATCTTAATAATGTGTTCCTTCTACTGAAGTCCTTGTAACAAGAAACCCTGTGAGACTGGCAGTAAAATATCTTAATAGAAGTGTACCTAAAGTAGAGCATGTTGAAAACCTCAACATGTTTTGTCTTGCCATAATAGATCTAGCATTCAATTGATTATCCAAGATGTTTCCAATTCTTTGTCTGAAAATTATTCAAACAACAATGTAGACTATATTACATTGAAATATTGTGAAGATCCATGATTATACACTCACACCCACAAACTATTAGAAATTAGATCTGGGACTTGTTGTAAGGTAAGGGTAGATTGTCATAGATTTTAAAATAATCATTGCTGATGTAACTGTATTACACTTACACTTAATGAAGTTTTTGGAGAAAGTACACTTTAAAAATACTTTCTCCTGCAAATTTTTATATTTTCCAAATAGTCTGTGTTTCTTTGGAGTGCTTATTCTTTGGTAAAAATATGGTTATTACTTAAAGGTAATTATACTTTTAAAAAATATTTCTGCATTACCTCAGTATTTCCTTTACATTTCTGTACCTCGTCCCTTGTATATGGGTTTGGCTCAGTTGTCTGTTACACAGCCTCAGCCTTTTATGCATTGTGGTAAGACCATGTACGAACACAAGTGTTTACAGTGCAGTTTTTACTCTTAAAAGTGACTTTAGTCTCCCTCTCCGGTTTGTATCAGTAGATCGGATTGCATGATGCCTACCATGTATATCTTTTTAAATAAACTGAGTCCAATAAAGCTTTCTGATCTGCAGTCTGCTTTGATTTTTAGTTACTGGATAGAACTAAAAAGATTACCAATTGCACCCCTTCGCCTGTCTAAAATCTGCACACTGTGGGACCCAAGTAAAGGGCCCCCAGGAGACCGAGGCGCTGATTTTTCAGTCAAAACAGTCAACGTTCCAACCCGGCACGGTCACTGCTGACTTGACGCTTCACTGGTGATACTTGGTGAACTTTTAAGCCCTAGCACTGTCCCTCTCAACAATTTCAAATGTCTTATTTTCTAAGTAAGTAGTGATGAGTATGTTTCGAAAGAAGGGCTAAGGGGAGAATTTTCTGCCAGCGTAGGTGATCACATTTTAGGAAAGGCCCATTTTTCCATGACTTAAAATACTTTATCATCACCACCCTTTAAATGACTTATTTCATACCCCTCCTGCAACTAATGCTTGAAAGCCATTTCCTGGTATGCTTTGTCAGCCAAAGATAAATTAACGACTCAATGCTAGAAACTGCTTGAAGTGAAAAACATAATCCCACATTGTTTAATTTCCTTGATTGCTGATTCTGCTAAAACCTTTTCATGTTAACTTCTCAGGGAGATCCCAGTTCATAATCTTTAGCTTACTGTGTGTGGGAGGGAGAACAAAGGCTGTTGTCTTCCTGTTTATGTTTTTAAATATCTTTTTTTTTTTTTTGTCTTTTGAACCAGGGTCTCATTATGCAGTCCAGGCTGGCCTTGAGCTCACTTTGTAGCCCAGGCTGGTCTCGAACTCACAAAGATCTTCCTGCCTCAGCCTCCCGAGTGCTGGGATTACAGGCAGGTGCCACCACTCCCGAAGTTCAAAATATCTTGAAGAGCTACTTCCCCAGCTCTTTGTTCTCTTGTGCTGAATTATCTTGGCTATTGCTGGACCTTTAGTGTTTTAGATAAATTTTAACATCAGTTTGTCAAGTTCTTCATCTAGAGTAAGGATTAGTTTTTAAGGTTTATCATTTTTATAGTAGAATAATTTCAGTCTTTCCGCCATTGATGGTCTTCTTTAATGTCTTTACATTTAGAATTTTTCCAACAGAATGGGAACTTGACAGTCCAGTCACTGGCTAAAAGGAAGCTATAAAAATACTGCTTTATAATGTATGTAACCAGTCAGGGTACATTTAATATAGATGTTTCTCACCTTCCAATGAACTCATGGTAAATTAAAAATGTATGCACCTAACACAGAATCTTAGCAGCACAGTGCACGGTTGAATAAGGATTGTGTCCCATGAAGATCACATGACTGACCAGCAGATGTTGGTTTTAGCTGCTCCCTATCATCACTGTAGTGTATCGCACAGACCTCTATTGTTCGCCTGCAAAAAGATCCAAATTCAAAATATGCCTTGTACTGAATGTGCATCACTGTTAACCAGACATGAAGTCAGGCCGTTGTAAGCTGGACGCCATCTAGACCAGCAGTCTCTGACCTTTTTGGTGCCAGGGACTGGTTTCACAGAAGACAGTTTTTTCAAGAATAGGGAATGGGAATGGTTTGGGGATGATACAAGTATATTACCTTTATTGTGCACTTTATTTCTGTTATTACATTAGAGTCTCATAAAGAGCACGCAACCCAAATCCCTCCCACGTGCAGCTGGCAGTAGGGTTCTCGTTCCTGTGAGGCTGGAATGCTCTGATAGGAGGAAGGGTCAGGAGGCAATGTGAGCTATGGGGGCAGCTATAAACACAGATGGAGCTTCCCTCATTCCCTGCTCACCTGCAGTGCACACAGCCCCTTCCTAACATGGACCGGGGCCAGTACAGCTCTGTAGCCAGGGGTTAGGGACCCTTGGTCTAGATTGATTTGTGATAGATAGAGCATACCTCAAGTCCCTATGTGTTATGTTTCATGTGCTCCATCAAATAACAATCAGAAACACAACCATCATGCATCTTTAGCTTGAAGCACTTTATAATTCTCAGAGCATTCTACAACTGCTTTACCAAGCCCGCTGCTAAGGAAACTTGAACAAAACGTGACGAATACAGACTTACTACAAAGAGAAGACTTCAGAAAGTTTCTGGATTACTACTAAATCTACAGCATTTTTCTCTTTCAGAGCATAACCAACCATTGCTTTTTTTGTTTTTTTTTTTTGTTTTTGGTTTTTCTCTGGTATCGGGAATTGAACTCACGACCTTGCACTTGCCAGGCAGGTGCTGTGTCGCTGAGCTAAATCCCCAGCCCCAACCATTGCTCTAAGAAACAAGACGTAGTCAGTGCTAGTAGCAGAATGGTATATTCTTAGCCTTCTTAGCAATACATAGCATACATAGTTCAAACATAACAGATCTGTGGTGACCATCAGAACTTTGGTAGGGGTTACATAACATTTGTTAAATAATTTTTCATTTTAGCCATATGCATTAGGATATACACATGCGCATGTTTCACCAGTACACCATACATGATATCTAAAGCCCATTTACCATATGTCAACCTTGGCTTCACAGTGACCAAATTGTGACAAAACTAAATGTACCAATCCCAGTATATTCAATAATTTGGCCTAGGAAATTGACACAAAAAGAGCCAACTATTTAAAAAAATATTGGTGGCATGCTAAAGGAGCCACACTTCAGCATGAAGAGAGAAAAACACTAGAAACTAGAAATATATCTAAATAAGATTTAATGCGTCAGCCCATTAATATCTTTTCTTTAAAAAGTGAATCATAGAGGTCTGAAGGCCTCTCTATAAATTAGCAGACCCCTCTTTTAAGTGATTTTTAATGGCTATCACTTAATTTTTAAAACATAAATCACAGTAGACTTAAAAATTCTGTAACATACCAAATTTAAAAATTAACACAAAATCTTGTCACCAAAAGGCAAGAAAAGAACAATAAAAACAACTTGGGAATTAAGACTTTCAAAAGGCTCTGTGAACTCGGACATCTTCCAAGTTCTGGTACCCCCTGTGTCCCAGTGATCTGTGATGTCCTGGCTCGGGATGTCTGAAGCATTTAGAAATGGACCGAGGAGGTTGCTCATCATGTCTTCCGTTACAGGGGAGCAGCGGGCAGCAGCTTTTAAACTAAATTGAATTCCCTTAGATTTAGCTGTAGGATTGTGTCTTTCACGGCAGTAAACACAAAACGGATGTTCTCTGTATCTGTAGCACACGTAAAGTGGGAATAGATGACTTTCTCTTTGTCAGGATTCTGGTCTTGATAAAGCTTCAGGATAAAGTCTCTAGCAGCTTTGACATCCTGTTTTGGTCCTAGTCAGAAGTGCAATTAGAAGAATAAAAAACATAGACTCATGACCACGTCCTCCCAAGAACCATTCAAAATACATTTTTGTTCCTATTTGGGATCCTTCTTTGATCTGGCTTTATTTCTAGGAAATAATTTACCTTCACCATTGTTTTTAGTATATATCATTATGAATCCACAAAATAGTATTTGAAATGCCCACTCATGTCTAAAAATTATACTTTGAGAATGTTTAAAAATAGTGGCACAATTTTCTGATTTGGACAATCAATGAAGAAAACTAATCTTTAATAACTTGTACAGAGAGACGCGGGCTGGGAGAGGAAAATTGTGAGAAGGAAGCTGGTTCTAAAGCTTGAGAGCTCTACATTATGCAGCCACTGTGGTTACTGAAAACACCCTCTACTCATCAATATCAAACTCTGTAATACCTGTGACCTCTTGTACCGGGAATATCTAGCAGTAAGGCAAAGACCTCTCTTGCCTCGCCCACCCTGTGTCTGGAAAGGGGATTCCACCTTTTAACCCCAGGAAGCACCAGATGCTCTGACTGGCCCTGGGAGTGCAAAGAGAAGTTGGGCACAGCCTCTGCTCCCGAGGAGCTGAGAGGGAAGAGAGCTGAACTTGCGGGCTAGCAGGCAGTCCTACCCGGGGGGATGATACCCGAGGGAGGAGGGGAGCCAAGCCGCCGAGGCAGCGGAAAGGAGATGGCGCACTCAGGCAGGCCTGACCAGCACAGGAGGGCCAGAAAGGCTCCCCAGGAGAGGGGAAGAGGCGTGAGTTGGGTCCTGGAGAGCCACAAGGTTCAGCAAAAAGGAGTGGGCAAGTGTATTCCAGACACTGGGAGCAGCTTCGTGGAGGCTGGATGTGAGCTCTCTCAAAGGGGAGGAATGGCGCGGGGCTGCTCCGACGGCAGGGAGCGCGGGTCAGGCTGCTGAGGACTGATGTCATGTGCTCAGCGAGGTAACACCGCACTGTCCACAAGAGGAACGCTTACCTTTGTATTCTGGGAAATAGCTGATTAGGTGAGAGTACATGATCTTCTCTTCCAGAAGGTCCTTCTTGTTCAAGAACAAGATCACAGAGGAGTTGAGAAACCAGGGGTAGGTGATGATGGTTTTAAACAAGGCTTTGCTTTCTTCCATGCGATTCTAAGTGAAAAACAAAAAGGACTTAGGCTAAACTAAAGCCCACACTTTGGAAACCCCATGCCGCATGCCTAGTGCGTCCCTCAGTGCCCTTCCTGCGCTGCCGAGCCTGGGGCACCGCCCAGGCTGAAGCCGGTGCCCAGAGGTCCCACAGGACGCCAGGCTTCTTGCCCTTCCCCTGTCCCTCAGTAAGTGTGTTTTTTCTGGATCTCCTGTCCTGACGCAGCCGAAACTCTAGCCCCAAACTCAGGGGAAATAAGAAAGACTTTTGTGCAACTTGGAAAATGAAGGCTCCTGTCCGCACTTGGCTGAAGTGTCCTGGCTGTGTAACTGTGGGGATTGCCCTGTGGGGCAGGGCCAGCTTCAGACACGAGACGGCTGCTTCCCTGGGCCGCATCTCCAGGCTGTGCCTCAGGACTCACGTGACACGGGTGAAGGGAGGCTCCTCTAGCAGGGCCACCACCCTTCGGAATGCCAGACAGTGGCCACACGCGGAATTAACACTGTGCCACGCCGCACAAGTGGAAAAGTCAGTCTCCCTGCTGGGTGGCTGAGCATTCTGCCATTCAGAACATGTAAAGAACTGCCCTAAGCCTGCGTATTAGTGGGACCTGGCAAAGATTATGTACAAAGACCGCAATGAATTCCAGATATTAGACATTGACAAGAAAATATTAAGTGCTCCAAATTTATGGAGAGCAGAGAATGCACCTACAAAGTCCTACCTGATGACAGTAATTGTTCTAGATAGCATTCTTCTCCTAGGTATTTCTAGGAAAAAAAGAAACAAGAGCTTCCCTTTAGGGAGGGAAGTTATCAGAAAAAAAAAACATCCAAACACACTGTGTTAACACACTGTGCCCCAGAGGAGCTCACCCTAACGCAAACCCTACAGTCCCCGGACGTCAGGACCCACTCTACCCCGCAGGGCATCTAGGGAAGCAAGATCCAGAACACATTATGGAGAGGGAGCCTGTTATGTCTTTGTAAAACTTCTCTAAAATTTACTAGGATCTTGTCAATAATAATCACAAAGGATGTATCTTTTTAAAAATTCCTGTACAGAATATGATACATTACCCACAATCAGAAAAAAGAACGTCTGTAGTGACAATCACTTAAATTTCTCTAAATACCTTGTGACTTTCAGGAAAAGAAAAAATGTTTAATTTCTAAGCACATCAGGCTGAGTTACTGGTCCCTTGTGCACTTGATTGATCTTTTGAATTTCCTGAGAAACATCATAAGTAATCCTGGAGATAATCTGTAGCTAATTTTTTATATTGATAACAATCGATGCCTCTTATTAAAAATAATCACACTTGCGAGAGCTGGGCAGCAGCCAAGATTTCTGTTCTTCGCACAACAACTCCAGTAAGTGGGTTAATCCTCCACTAATTAGCTAATGTAACATAGTTATTTGTTCATAGTTATTGCCTAATCCTAGAAAGAGTTCCTTATTTGTTTACTTTTATGCTCTGGAAAGAGACATTTTTCCAAAAGATCAAGGGTTCTTGTGCATGTTCAGGGAGAAAGATGATGAAGAAGACATTAGCATCCCACAGAAAATATGCCCAGCCTCCCAAATTAGCGACTGTGATGGTCCCCTTCACATTTGGGAAGATCGTACAGTGGGGCTGGACCCACCCAGTGCCAGGCGGCTCCACAGTGGATGTCAGGTGCCTGACTGGGCTGGGTGCATGGGAGCGAAGGGCCGACACAATGACAGCAGCCATGGAAGACTGCCAGCATCTGACACCACTGCCCATACCAACCTGGCTAGAGATTTAATTTGGGAAAGCCATGGCCCCTGGAAGTTTGGAAAAGCCATGCTCAGACACTTTCTCAGACACATTCTTGCTCATGCTTGGTTGTGTGTTGCATCTCTGGGGGTCTTGGAAAAGAAAACCCCCACCTGACTCCAGTAACTTTAATTTTCTAGTGTGGGGCCCACAATACTATATTTTTTAGAAGCTCCCTGGGGGTCCAGGATGCCACCAAGGATGAGAACCCATACTTTTGAGAAGTTTCCACCCTTCATAGCATATTACAGTCACCTGGAGAGCTTATTAAAAAATCCCCACACTCAGGCCACACCCACCACCAATAAAGTCATCATCTCTGGGATTGGACCCAGGCAAGAGTTTTTCTTCACATTCCACAAAAAATTTCAGTGTGCATCAAAGTTTAGAGTGAGATTCACACCAGTGGTTCACAATCATGTACAATCTTGCACCACATAACAAGCATTTGGTGAACAGACAACATATACTATAACAGTCCCGTAAGATTATAGTGCAGTTGAAAAATTCGTATTACCCACTATTTTTAGCTTAATTTTTCTATGTTTGGTATGTTTAGATACACAAATACTATTGTGTTACAATTGCTAACAGCAATTGTCCAGTGACATACTATGCAGGTTTGTAGCCAAGGAGCAGCAGGCTATAATCATACAGCCAGGTGTGTAGTAGGCTTGTGTCTAGGTTTATACACGTGCACTGTCTAGGTTTAACACAATGATGAAATCACCTATTAAGGTATTTCTCAGATTACATGCTTGTTTTAGTTAGTTTTCTCTCATTGCTGGGCAAAATAGTCAACACCCAAAGTTAAAGGAGGAAAGGTTTATTTAGCTCACAGTTTGTAGAGATTTCGGTCCATAGTTGGCTGGCCCCAAGGCAGGGTGGCACATGGCAGACAGGCATTGCAGAGGAGAAACAGTTCATGGTGGGCAGAAGGTGGCAAAGCAAGCCAGAGGAACAAGTCAAGCCTCTTTCTGTCCCTTATATTGTATCCAGAGTACCAGGATTAGGGTGGTGCCGATCCAATCTGTGGACTGATCCAACAATCACCCACCCTTAATCCTAGCACCCTCAGTCCTAGTATTGCACCATGAATGAGTCACATACTCTAGATTCATCCACGTCTGAAAAAGCCCCACCTATGACTGCATGAGGCTTTGGGGAAACATCTGGACACAACTGTAACAATGTTTGTCATTAAGCAACACATGACTATATTTGGATTACCTGAGAACTAAGTGCAGGCTCTGATTTAGTTGGTCTGGAACGATTCAATAGGTTGCATTTCTAACAAGCACCTGATGCCGCTTGTCCACAGGTTACACTTTGAATAACTAGGACCATTTAGCCACTAGTCCACCTCGCTGGCTTGTTGAGAACCACAGGAAAGTTCTCTGCCTTTCAAGCTACCTATGTGTACCTCACCCACCTAGCGTACCTCGTTGTCACACTCAGCCAGGACCTGGTCATATTCACTCAGAGCAACCAAGAAAATGATGGAGGTGACACTCTCAAAGCAATGAATCCATTTTCGTCGTTCTGATCGCTGGCCACCAACATCCACCATCCTGTTCAATAAAGACAGATCACGCAAAGATTAGAACATACGGCTCCTTGAGGAAGAGGAAGTCATTATACCATGGAATCAGTCCTCTCTGGGACCCTCGAGAATTTGAAGAGTGAGGAGTGGTGCTAAGTTACACATAAGAATGACCTCAGTTTCCAGAAACACATGCCTTCCCTAAGGACAACAGAAAGATTAGCCTCTCTCTACTCTGGAACTGTGCCCGGCCACAGTCTACATGCCCTGGGACAGAAAGGGCCGTTCTGTCCTATGAGATTCAACCCCATCTTAGAAGAACACACATTTAACACATGGGTGGGAACTTCCAGGCCTGGCAGGTGAGAGTCTCTGGGCCTTACCGAAAGATGATGTTCTCCAAGTCAAACGGGTACTCGATGATGCCGGTGGTTGGCACGCGGACACGAAGCACATCTTGCTGTGTGGGCACAAATGACGGCACAGCGATCCGGTCAATGTCAGTGAGGTAACTGCGATATTAAAGAGCGAGGCTCCTTTCAGAGAAGGGAGAAATGTCTGTCCTGCTCCAGGGAAGTTAGCCCCAAATAACGCCCCACCCCGTACATGGATTCTATCAATGACTTTCTCAAGAGCCAGCTGAGGCCGCTCCACACTTCCTACAACTGCTCTGTAGAGAGACAGGATCAGAAGCACTTCTGTGAGGCTCTTGGGGCTCTGCAGGTCCCCGCATTTCCTCCTGGGCTCCAGTCGCCCTCGTCTCTGAGGGCTTGAGTGAGGCTGCAGGGCTGGGGGCCGGAAGTGGCCGTGACTCCCTGCCCAAAGGTGCCTCACCCAACAACATCGTGTGTGCAGGTGCTGTTCTCCAAGGCTGCTGCTCCAAATTAAATGGAGTTTCTAAGAAAATATACAGACGTCGAACAGGCCAAGGGGAAATTCTTTCAGAATAACAAGAAAAGCTTCCCTGTTAAAGACACCAGCAGATGACACATCTCCTGAAATAATCCGAAACTTGTCTTAGATTACTTAGGGCCAGATATTAAAGCCCAGAGAGAAGACTAAAACACAATCACTTTTTCTTTAGTAAAATGAGAACATACTATTCTTAAATTTTAAGGCCCACATAAAAGGCATTTTTTTAAAAAATAAAACAACTCTTAACTCAGATCGTGGCCAGCAGTGAGTTGGTGACGTCAAGTCACCTGCAAGCCGAGGTGGCCCTGCCTTCTCCCAGCACAGCCGGGACACCAGGCCCTAAACAGGTGGGTGTGAAGGTGAACCAAGGGGTTACGGGAAAGCCCGACACCTTCCAGCCTGTGACTCCTGAGCCCAGGCACCCCCAGGCCATACACAGAAGCCCAGGGCTCAGGGCTGTTCTCCATGTGCAGCAGCCCCTCAACCAAGGTTTCACTTTCCACAGCTTGCTACCCATGCCCATTCATGCTGCAAAGCATTTAATTCTTAAGTTAAGTTTTAGAGACAGGTCTTACTGTGTTGCCTAGATAGGCCTCAAATTCCTGGGCTCAAATGATCTTCCTGCCTCAGCCTCCCAAGAGGATGGGATGACAAGCCTGTACCACCATGCTTGGTAAATAATTTCTAAGTTTGAAATCATGTACTATTCTGAATAGCACGATAAAATCTAATATTGTCCCATTCTGTCCTGCACTAGACATAAACCGTCCCCTTCTGTAGTGTATGCACACCGTATCCACTTCTAGCCTGCTAGGCACTGAGTAGGTGTCTCGGTTATCCAATCATCTCTTGTGGTATCACAGCACTTGTGTGCAGTAACTCTTATTTTACTTAGTAAATGCCCCAACAGGTGTTCTATATTATTATTAATTATTAATCATTGTTAATCTCCTACTGTTATGGCTTGGATCTAGATGTCCCCCAAGAGCCTCATGTACTCAAAGGCAGGGCTTCTGGAAGGTCATCAGACCACGGGGGTTTAGGGCTGACTTGCTGTTAGGAGCTGGGGTCTGGTTGGAAGAGGCAGTCACTAGGGGCGTAGCTTGGAAGGGTTTATCTCCCTTCCCAGTTCCTCCCTTCACTCTACTTCCTGTCTTCCGCGCCATGACCAGCTCTTCCCCTGCCATGCTCTCCTGCCTTGGAGCCAGCCAACTATGGACTGAAACTAGAGCCAAAATAACTCTCTCCTCCCTTAAGTTGTGGGTGTTGGATATTGTGTAAGTCTGTCCACTCCCTTCTCAACAGGCCTGCCTCAGTTTCCAGGATTACACTAAATTCTGTCACAGCTCTGCTGGGTCTTTTCCAAATGGACCTCCACCATGCACCCTTGCCAACCCCCGGGCACCTCACAGAGCAGATGGTACCAAGCAGTCTCGGGAGAGGACAGGGGAGGCCGGCGCTGCTTTTGCCATTGAGTAACCCCTGGCTGCTCAGGCTGTCACACAGTCTGTACCTCCTCTTTGGGGCACCTTCCTTCTCTGCCTCTTTGCTGGTCTCACACCTTACTGGTTTTGGGCCTGTGCTTTGACTGTGCCAACCTGGATAATGACACTGAACACTCGGCCTGCAGAGAATGCCAAAGGGAAGTTGTGTAAAGATAACATTTCCTTTCCTGCCCATACCTTATCCGGACAGTGGGGAGAACCCTCACCCAAGCCAGCTCGGAGGGCAATGGCAGCACCTGGAGGAACGAGGGCGGCCTCAGGAAGGGTTTCAGGGCCCTGACCGGGGGGATGACGCTGTGCAGAGAGGGAGAAAGCGCCAGCACAGCCCGGAGCATCAGCTCTTCAGGACGTGTTTGCCTAGTGGCCTGGCTGACGGATGCGCTGCCTCAGGAAATTCACAAGAAAATAAAATTCTGTGATCTCCCTGGGATGTTTTCATGCGGGACCATCTAAATAAAAATCACTTACCTTCAGGGATTAAAGATTTAGAATTAGAGCTCTTTGCCAGGTATAGTGGCACATGTGGTAATCTCAGCTAGTCAGCAGCCTGAGGGAGGACGATTGTGAATTTGAGGCCAGCCTGGGAAACATAGTCAGACCCTACCTCAGAAAGTAAAATAAGCAAAACCAGAACTCTACTGATCAAAAACATAGCACTTAGGTTTTTGCGGTGGGGGGGGGGGGAATCAGTAAACAGCTGGGCTTCCTGTGTGCTTTGCCTGGAGATGCCTGTTTTGACCACTAGAGGGCAGCATCAGCTCATTAGCGGACACCTGCTCTGAAGTCTGATTTTAGGTTTTGGGTCAAGTCTGGTTCCAGACAACCAGAAAGGAAGAGGAATATTAAGAGGAAGAAGGGAAACCAGAAACAGGAATATTCCATCAATACCCCAGTGAGGTCAGTCCCACTAAAGGGACTCCCAATTTGATAAAACCTGATTGAAAATAAAGGCTTAGAATACACTGAGAAAAGGCGGTGAGTGTGGGCCAGGAGGGAGCTCTGGGGATACACAGAGCATCAAAGGGTTTTAGGAGGTGATCAGAGAGAACGACAGGTGCCAGGGTGACACGGAGAAGCGGGGGAGGTGATATTGCCACTGCCCCCCCCTTCAGCAAGCAGTGATGCTTCCTTGAAATGTGGCCGAGCTTGCCTAAGGCTCGCAGGGAGCCAGGCCGGGGCTCGCACTCACTACTTGGCGGAGTCTGACAGCTGGTACTCCCTCCTCCTGTCGTAGCACTCCTGGATCCCTGGGTCCTGCCAGAGCTGCTTGATGGCCTCCACCTGGTCTCGGGAGAGCATGGCGACCTTGTCAACGTCCACTTCTTTGATTATCTGGGCATTTTCCTACCCAAAGAAAGGAGAACCTCCCATTAGGCAAAAGCAAAGAAGCCAACCACTTGGCGATCTGTGCAACTTGCGCTGATCTGTGGGTTGTGGATCCGGGAGACGGCCAGAGGGCTGTGTCCCGCCAAGCCATCCCCTCAGCCACAGGGAATTCCGCTCCGCAGACACAGCCACAGGGGGCCCAAGCCCTGCGACCCCGGTCCAGCAGTGCAGCAGTCAGCACGCAGGGAAATGGAGAAACAGCGGGCAGCCCTCCAACAGCAAACGCCACTTCCCCACGAACACGCTGCTCACTTGAGTACAGAGCCCACAGCTCAGAAATATCATGTCCACCACACACCAAGGGTTGGTGGTAGCAGTGGTCCACCCAGGAACAAGCAACAAGGGACTGAGAATCATGAGAGTAATACCACCGTCCATCTGCTTTCTTCTCCTTATTTAAAGAAATTAAATAAGCTTCACTTTGTAGAGCAGTTTATGTTCACAGTAAAATCAAGTGGAAAGTCCTGAGTTCCTGTACAGACTGCCTGTCACCCTCCAGTCTCATGGATAAAATTCTTCCCCACGGGGCTCACTGCTCCTGTCGTGCTCCCTCCTCACACTGCTGATTGCCACTGTGTATTTATGATTGCCGTGATTATTAAATGATTGTTGCTCTAATACTAGTGTTCGATCATTGCGATGACTTCAAGATCATGATTTCTAAAATAGTTGGTTTAATAAAATAAAGATCACTATTACTACAATTATTACCATTAGAGCAGTTACCATTTATTGGCCCCTAGCTACGTGCCGAGGGCTCTACACGCATTATCTCATTTAATCAATGCAAGGCCAGTACAAGGTTGGAAATCTTTCCGAACTTTGGAAAATGAAATGACCTGGTTGATTTGCACCCACATTTCCATGCTTTGGCCCCTGAGACTCAGCACCCTTTCCTCAGCTTCAAGCTGTGACACGTAAGGGACTCTTAGTGGGACAGGGGGACCCCAGGGTCTTCTGCCCTCTCATCTTTCTGCATCTCACTGTGATTCCATCATGCAGAGCTGGCTATTTACTGGCAGAAGAGGGTCAGCAAAGCAGCCCCCTTTGGTAGCTGTGAGCTCCATAAGTATATGTGATACCCTCCAAAACACTGCTTTCATCTTGCACTGTTAATCCTCATAATCATCCAACCGGAGAAACAGGACCTGACAGGTTCAGTTGGAACAACATAGCTGTGTCCCACATCCATCACAAAGTGAGTGAAATCTTCCCTGAGACTGCGGGATCCTCAGGCAGAATGGGTTAGCGGGAAGTGCACAGGATGAGGAACCAGAATTCAGGGTCCCAAGCCATACGGCTGGAATCATACGGATCTGGACAAGTTCTGTCTTGATGTCCTCATTTTAAAAGCGAGCCAGTGATTTTCAGGACATAAACAATAAAGAATCACTCACATGTAAGTACAGTTTGCCTTATGGTTGTAGCAGATGCCTGATAAATAATTGCTCGCAAACATAGGACACATCAATAGCCCTTAAGCCGCAGTATCTGACCCACTAGCACCTGTCTTTTTCTGGCCAGCGAGGACAACAAAGGATGGTCCTAGACAGTGGATGTCTGTGCAGAAGCACTGCCTCCCACCTGCGCCCCTTCTCTAGCCACCCTGGCTCCGGCTCCTCCCAAACAGGATCAGAAGGTCTCTTTCCAACCTCTCACCTCTAAATTTAAAATGCCTGTCTTCCTGTGTCTTCAAGCTAACTCAGGGAATGCCAAGAGAAGAGAGCCAATGCCGCTTGTCCTAGTAGCCCAGCTAGTGCAGGTGAGCTCTGCAGATGAGTGCATTTCCATAAGCACTTGGGATGCATATGAGATGTGTGTCTAACAGATTGCAAGTCATAGCCAGAGGGCATCCTACTGCAGCAGGGGGACAGAGGCCTGTACAAGTGTTCAGGGGAGCAGGTGGGGCCAGGAGGTCTGGTGGGGTTGGGGATCTGTCTGTTTATTCTATGTGGCAGTCAGCACCCTCACATCTCGTGGCACATGCCTCTTGAGTAGTTCTCCTGAATTAAACTGTTAAATTCAGCTCAGCTGCCAAGAATTAATGCTGTGACAATCATCAGGGATATTGCAAATATATTTGTACCTCCCTGACTCCCAAACATAAGAACTGTGCTTCAAGATGAATGAAGTGAGTGGAGGTAACTTGCATCTCTTTGAGGGAGAAACTTTAAAGAGCCAGTGAATAATTCACCACATTTCCCTTCATCTACCCTGATGATGGTAGAAGCAAGAGATAAGACAGAGTCTCTATCTTTAGGGTTCCCAAGTGACCGCAATGAGCAGAGATGTCCTAACACCACACAGATGTGTGGCAGGAGTGAGATCAGTTGTGAGTTCTCATCAGCACGGAGTTAGAAGAGTTGACCTTTGGGGAAATTTGTTACCACAGCATAACCTACTACACGCATCCTGACTAATACATGCTGCAATAGATAAACTAACCTGCCCTGGCTCCGCTAATAAAAGGGAAAGCAGATCCAACTTAGATGACACAGAGGAAGGCAGGTGGTCAGGGTATGGAAGCCGAGAGAAAGCACAGGCCTGAGCCAGGAGAGCTCAGCTACAAGAGGAAGACAGTGTCTGCTCAGCCAGCTGGGCGATTTGGGGAACCTTGCTGGGAGGAAGAGGAGAGCTGTGCTCTTGGGAGACACAACGGACATGAATGCAAAACAAACTGTACTCCAGAGGCTGAGAAGTTGGCCACTTTCAGAGGACGCTTCTCTGCCATTGGCTCCTTCTGTGTAGCCTTCCTGTCCATCAAGATCCTTTCAAAATGTTAATCTCTTGTTTTGAAATAATTGGAGCCTTAAAAAATGTGGGAGAATGGTTCAAAGACTTCCTCTATACTTTTCTTTCAAGATTGGTCAAACGCTAATAATTTACTACCTTGCTTTACCATTGACACGCCAGTTTGCGTGGATATGAACACGTGCATACACTGCCACACTTGTAGATCTTTTGCCTGATTACTTGAGCGTGAGTTGCAGACACATTCCCTCATGACTCTAAATCCTTCAGTGTGATTTTCTCTAGCGTACCCACAGTATAATGATCTAAATCAGGAATTCACACTGATAAATTATCACCGAACCTTCAGATCTTACCAAAGTCTGCTTTCTCCATGAGCGTTCTTTACCCTGTCTGAGCCCAGTCTAGGGGCACATGTCACACTTAGTCGTCGGGTGTCTTTAGTTTCCATTTGGAAATGTTCTTCAGTCAGCAAAGTTGTTTTGGCACTGCTGAGCAAGGACAGCCTGGCGAGCCACCGTCCTCAGGAACCAGTTGTTACGAGGGTGGCGGCAGAGACTGTGGCACAGCCACGGCCCGGCGGTCAAGGGGCAAGCGTTAGGAAGCAGGAAGCAGCGAGGGGGAGAGACCTCTTACCTTTTAAAATGAAACACGAGCTGAGTGACTTCTGTACACTGTTAGCCACGTCTGAGTGTCGCACAAGGACTGTGCACACCTCTCCCTGGCGTGGCTGAGGGTCTCCCACACAAGAGCGGAGACGTTTTCAAGGGCGGTAGTCCAGCTGCCTCAACTGTGCACAAGCTCCATGAGCCAGGGCGGGGGGTTGTGACATTTAAAAAGTTCATTGTGTGGAAAGCAAGCACAGTCAGAAGAGGACCAGGCCTGGGGGGACATCGCGGGGGTGGGGGAATGTGCCAAGAGGGAGGCAGCCAACGTTGAAAGGGTGTGCAGGAGGCAGATGAATGAAGTGGGTCTACTCGGAAAATGGGTGCACTCGAGACCTTCATCTTAAGTGCAATAAATCAAATGCACACATTCAAATATCTTGTTGTTTCTCTTGTCTGAGGAACTCAGGGTAAACGAGGAGCTCAGCGGGGGTTAGATACCACGAAGAAGGAAGACGGGGGCAGAGGGGAAAGGGAAAGAAAGGAAAGGGAAAAAAGAATAGAAGGAAAAATAGAAACAAAGCTTTTCAGATGGGGAGAGGAAGAGGGACTGAAGGGAGGGGAGGGATACGGAAAAAGAAGAATCAAGACATGCTATATACAGGTTCAAATTCCCTATGATGAATGTGATCAGTACGTGTGATGAATATGTACTCATAAAAGCTATAAAGTTAAAAAGGATTTTAAAAAATGAGTCTAGTGTACTCTGTGGCAGAATCCCAGTCTAGCGCAGCATATTAAAACTGTCTAATATGCTTAATTGAAAAAAAAAAACAAACCTCAAAGGAACAAGTATTAAAAGAACAAACCCAGAAGACACAGAGGCATGACCAGGCTCTCAAAATACAGAGCTCATCACTCACTTTGCCTTTTCCTCAAATAAAATCGCCATCCTCACCGCTTTGAAGGGGGACAGAAAAGCAGATGTTCTCCATGTGTGCTTCACACAAAAATTCCTAGGACAGTTGGTGACTTTGTTGGCTCCTTGCTGGCTTTATGAAGGGCCCGTGGCTGCGGGTGACAGTCCCTGTCAAGCATGGGGAGCCCTTCTGGCTGGGACCCAGTGCCCAGCGGGCTGCCAACCACCATGCTCTTGCCACAGGACTCCTCCCCATGAGCAGGCCCAAGATGGCGGCCCGGGGCCTGTGCCCCAGGGCTGGCTTTCCTGCTGAGGAAAAGTGACTTTGGGTCCCAGAGGCACTTGAGCTCTTAGTACTTTTGTTAGCCAATTAAGCATTTTAAAAACATTTTTATTTTTATTTATGAATTTTTAATTGGAAAATTAAAATTGTCTATGGTATACAATGTGATGTTTTGATACATGTCTACTTTGTGGAAGGGCTAAAGCAAGCTATTTACCATTTGTATCACTGGATGTACTTATCTTTTCATGATGAGAACACTTAAAATCTACTATCTTAAGAGCGTTTCAGGGTGTTTCAGGAAAGCCACCAGGCCTACAGCACAGCTCTTTTAAATGAATTCCTCTCATCTGGCTGATATTTTCATTAAAGTTAATTAATTTATAGATGATAAAAGATG